AGGGGGGGGGGGGGGGGGGGTAAGTGTTCTTCGGAATGACTGGGTATAAAGGGCACGTAGGCGATGACTGCTACAAGAATATAATATTACAAAGCATTCGCTTCTGAAAGAATTTGAACTAATTGCACCACAGAGTTGAGCGTTTATGTCCAATCGCTACATCGATCTCAGATGTCAATCAATCAAGTAAATCTCAAAATTGACATGTTATCAATCTTATTAATTGTTCAATCGTCCATAAATCAATATTTTGCTCTTCAAAATTATCGTCGGCGTCGACAATGATGATACATAGTTGGCTCTTCTTCATTTTTTCTTGAAAAAATAGTGCTCGTCTCGAGTGACCTCCATAATGACAATATCATTGCTTCTATTTGTCCATTCTCTCTCCTTTCCTCTCACTTTTTTTCACTTTGTTTTTCAGATTCTCTAACGAGCGAAGCTCGAAAATTCAAATCGATGATCTCCGCCACATTATTAACGCCTCTTTTCCTCATAGTACAACTTCAATAATTTTTGTGTGTTTACCGTGATAATGAAAATAGGTTAGGGGTCTTTTCACTAAAAATATTTTTTTTATTAAACATATATTTGACTGAGAATTTTGTAATTTTTAGAACAATTATTATGCAAAATAAAATAAAATATAAATTATCTTAAACTTCTAAAATTAACCGATGATTTAAGATAACTATTTTTAAAATCACGATAAATGATTTGAGAAACATTCAGAAGGTACCTGTGATATCAAATTATTATCAAGCAATTTTGTTTACACAACTACCGACATGCCACTCTCTTTGCGTACTTTGCTTAATTTGATACATATTTTGATAGTTATGTAAAGATAAAAATTTTAAAAAATAATATAAATAAATTTTGAATAGTAATTAAAATAAATATTTATTTAAAAGTACCATCTAATACATTAGATTTGATGGTTGTTTGTTGTTACATATTCCAGCTCATGATATTGTAGTTTGAATTGTGATAAGATTCTCTGTTTTATTTGATGCACCAATGAGCATCGGGTAAAATAACAAAATAACAAAAATGGCCCCTCAAATTTGGATCATATTAATGGGGGATTTTGATCATTTAAATTTATTAAAAGTGATTTATTTTTATATTTAATAAATTTTGTTGAAGATGCACTTTTTGCTATTTTTTTAATCTATTTAATTTGTAGAGTCTACAACAGTTTTGTAAGATGCTATTTCTGTTATTTTCGATCAATATTGTACTACTGTTTATAATATTTGATTGTTTTTTAGTGGTGCTTCTCTTACAGCTTTTTTAAAAATTATTTTCCTGAATTTTATGACCTAAGTTTGTTAAAATATTCGACATAAATTTCAAGTGCTCACTTTTGATAAAAAATTTAAAAATTGTATAGAGTATAAGATACTCTCTCCGTTTTAAAAAGAGTGATCCAGTTTAACTTGAGACGAAGTTAAAGAAAATAAAGAATTTTTTTTAATCTTGTGGTCCTAAATTAAAGTTATGTCAAATGTATAAATTGCCCTTTACTCTTGTGACCTTAAACATGCTACGTGGAAAGCTGAAATCAAAATATTACCAAAAAAGGAAAGAAATCATTCTTTTTGAAACAGATTAAAAAAAGAAAGTAAGTCATTCTTTTCGAAATAGCGGGAGTAGCATTTTGATTTTTTTTTTGGTTTAATTACATAATAGATATTCAACTATAAATGTAATAATTGCAATTTGCAGTAAAATCATCAGACTTATTCTTTTTTTAAATCATAAAATCACTCAATTTTACATAATTTTCTAGCATGTCATTCTTGCCCAAATTCGATAGAGTTTAATAGAAATCATCCCATTTCATCATCAAATACTTAGTACTTTTTTTAATCATAGAATTACTAATATGTCATTCTTGCCCAATCATTTAGAAAATAATTTCTGGATAGCAATCAAATCGGTTTAATTAACCTTGTAATTGTCTCCTCAACATATTGGCTTTTAGGACTTTTTGCACAATTCAACATGCTTGGTTATGACATAGTCCCCATATGTATTTACACACCCTAGACTATGAGTATTTTTTTTAACATCACCGACACTACGATAAAAGAGATAATTAGCAGTAATGATTTTTTTCTTTGGAAAAATGTCTAGCGATAATTAAGTGTCATTGCATCCAGATTAAGTCGTTAAAGCCTTTAACAACATTTATATAGTATGTTGATTGTAAATACTCATAATATATTACTGTTGTTGAATATAATACAACAACATTTATATTATTGTCGCAAGATGTTTTATTTGCTATAGTAATCTACACCATCTGTCCATGGAAACAAAGTTTATCCCAGACAATGAGTGTGTTTTTAGGCATAATACATAAATGTGTCCTTTAACTTGGTCTCATTTCACATTATGTCCTTTAACTTTGGGTGTGCACAAGTAAACACTTAAATTTATATTTAAGTTGAACAAGTAGACACATGAGTCATATGTGGAATAATACACGTAGGACACAAATTTTCATGTAGGATGTCACGTAAGACGTGCATGTCTATTTGTTCAACTTTATACAAGTTTAAGTGTCCACTTGTGCAAACCCAAAATTGAAGGACATAAATGTGAAATGAGCCCAAGTTAAAGGGTATATTTATGTATTATGCCTTTTTTTTTTTAAATATCACTGAAACAAACGAGATATTTAAAGCCAATAATTTTTCTTTCACAAAAACATCTAGCGATAATTGAGCTAATGTCATTGTATATGTAGTGTGCTGATTGGCAATAAATTGTTCTTCACAAAAATATCTAGAGTCGCTAAAGTATGTAACGATATTTATATAATGTATTGATTATAAATACTCACATTATATTGATTTGGGAAAATCACTTACCTGTATACTTTTTTAAAAATATTTACTATATTTGTCAACATTATTTTTTAACCATATATGACAATTTGGCTGAATTAATCAAATTCACTTCGTCCTTTCCATCTTTCGCTCCCAATTTTCTCTCGCCGCTTACGTATTTTCTCTCGCCGCTACGATTTTCTCTCGCCGCTACGATTTCTCTCGTTGGTGCGATTTCTCTCGCCACTTCTTACTCACAATTTTCTTCACAAATACGGCTATACTACCTTCAGAGATGTGAATTCAGTGCAGTTTGAGACGAATCAAGTCGAGCAGAGAGTTGAATTTGAAGTTTTTTGAAGTTTGAAAGGTTAGAAGCTTTAAATTTGATTGCATGTCATTAGTTACTTGGTTAATTCATCCTTAAATCTGTATCTCGGCTATACTAACCTTCACCGATGTGTATTCAGTGATCAATTTCGAGATGAATCAAGTTCGGGCAGAGAGTTGAGTTTGAAATTTTTTGAAGTTTGAAAGGTTAGAAGGTTTAAATTCGATTGCATGTCATTAGTTACTTGCTTAATTCAAGATTAATTCTCTTTCTCGGCTATACTAACCTTCAACGATGTGTATTCAGTGATCAATTTCGAGATGAATCAAGTTCGGGCAGAGAGTTGAGTTTGAAATTTTTTGAAGTTTGAAAGGTTAGAAGGTTTAAATTCGATTGCATGTCATTAGTTACTTGCTTAATTCAAGATTAATTCTCTTTCTCGGCTATACTAACCTTCAACGATGTGTATTCAGTGATCAATTTCGAGATGAATCAAGTTCGGGCAGAGAGTTGAGTTTGAAGTTTGAAAGGTTAGAAGGTTTAAATTCGATTGCATGTCATTAGTTACTTGCTTAATTCAAGATTAATTCTCTTTCTCGGCTATACTAACCTTCAACGATGTGTATTCAGTGATCAATTTCGAGATGAATCAAGTTCGGGCAGAGAGTTGAGTTTGAAGTTTGAAAGGTTAGAAGGTTTAAATTCGATTGCATGTCATTAGTTACTTGCTTAATTCAAGATTAATTCTCTTTCTCGGCTATACTAACCTTCAACGATGTGTATTCAGTGATCAATTTCGAGATGAATCAAGTTCGGGCAGAGAGTTGAGTTTGAAGTTTGAAAGGTTAGAAGGTTTAAATTCGATTGCATGTCATTAGTTACTTGCTTAATTCAAGATTAATTCTCTTTCTCGGCTATACTAACCTTCAACGATGTGTATTCAGTGATCAATTTCGAGATGAATCAAGTTCGGGCAGAGAGTTGAGTTTGAATTTTTTTGAAGTTTGAAAGGTTAGAAGGTTTAAATTCGATTGCATGTCATTAGTTACTTGCTTAATTCAAGCTTAATTCACTCTTCTAATTCAAGTTTAATACATTGTAATACACTTTTAATACAAGTTTAATTCATTTTTGCAGTTTGTTGGTTGATTTGTTATGATTTGATGACTTGTTTAAATTCTTTCTTAATTCACTCTTCTGATTGATTTTCTTGGTTAATTCATAATAGATTCAAGTTTAATTCAATCTATA